TTCTGATTTGCTTCTGCTTTTCTAGCACGAGTTCTGATTGGTTTCTGCTTTTCTGCTTTCTGCTTTTCTGCCAAGGTGTGAATCCGGCCTAAGAATTGAACCAGCAATACGTAGCGTAGTAGCTGCGCGTCTTAACCACCAAGTCACACCGCTTAGCCGCCAAACTGTACTTACAGTTCGGTACATAAAGGCCATGCATATTTTTAAACCCATGTAAATTTTTAAAGTTTTGTTTCGCGAATGCTTGAGAGTTGGGTCGTATTATTTTACCATGAATTAATGAAAGGATAGAACTATAATATACGTCAGAGTCAGCGAAATCGAAGGAGACAATGTCTGGTGTTCCCCTTGTCAGTAGTTTTTTTTTTTTTTTTTACGTACCACTCAGTTATAGAGTACTTATCTTTTAATGATAGAATTATTTAATAAGATATATTTATACTATTTTATTACACAGCATGATTATCGTGGCAGAGAAAATTAGTGATGCAAAAATTGGCAATGTCTGTATGTAATATATTTTATAATTTTTAAAATCAGATAAAATATATTAATAATGCAAAACGCATATGTCTTCTAATTGAATATACCCACTTCATTATACCCACACATCTTATTGTGCCACACATATCTCTTTATTAATTATGTTAAAAAATTAACCGAACCCCTCGGTCGTGAAGAAGATTTTCGAAAATATATATTAGATATATTTGTACGTAACAGCCGAAATTCCTTTATCGTGAGCTCATGCCGAAGGTTCGAGAATTTGCCTATATAGGTTGTTTGTCACAGTCGTATGAATCGCTGATTGGTAGCCCTTTGCCGTTCGATCGACAATACCAATCAAAACGAGCGTACATCGGCGGCTCAACGCGGAGATCGCGATCACGCAGAACGTCGTTACCGCAGTTCGTGCGTAGTGCGACTTACTACGTATATTGCGTAGAGCGTAATATTTCGGTGCATATTTTTTTCCAAAACGCGAGTGAATAATTACGCGTAATTAAGCGCAAAGTGTCCAGTGAGATCTTAGCGCAGTGTAGTGTTGCGCTAAGATAAGTGAACATTTCCTATGTGCGGATTTCCTGAGACGAGGAGATTCTTCGGTACGCAGTAAAGAGAGAAGTAAGTACCGGCCCGTGGCCGCTCGCTCTAACTTACCTTAATTGCGTATCATTTTTAGAAGTCCGTATCGATATTTTAAGCGCTCTCGACGGTATGAGCGATATACAGTTATACAGTTTGTGAAATGAGGATAAACGTCAAACATAAAGTGTTAGTGAAAGAGACGGTTGCTTTGATCGAAATAATTGCGATGGATCGCGATTCGGCGCGAATGCAAATTTTATTGTTTGTTTATTAATTTAAAGTTAAATTTAAATTTAATGGGAGTGAAGGTCATTTTTTTCCCTTTTCTTTTGCAGGGAAATCTTGCATCCATAAGTTTGAGCGGCGTTTAAGCTCGCGCTAAATTTTGGTGTCTATAATTCCAAATTAAAAAAAAAAATGTTTTATTTTAAATTTGTAATTAAAAAATTCAGTAATTGTTAAGTCAACTTAACAAAAAAAAAAAAAAGAAAAGAAAACCGTTCTTATTAAAAACTATTTCTCAAGGTGTCTACTCCTTGGAAAAATGAAAAATCTCGAATTCTCAGGGAATTTTTTTTGTACTTGGAAAAATCAGGGAATTCTCATGAAATTTTATTGGGAGTCAGGGAATCTTTTAAAAAAATTCTCTCTGATAATTTTGCTCTGGCAATCCTTTTGTAAGCAATAGGCAATCCGTCAATAAGCCAAGTTGTGAATTATGTGTTTAATACATTATAAATGTCACCCATTCTCGAGGCAGGCTGCCCCTCAGCTGCTGCAGAGTTGCAGCCCGCCATCACACGCAAATCACACTCCGGGAGTTGCCCCTCCTCTGCGTCACATTGGCAAGACTTTGAGGAATCCAATTGCGCTGCCGGATCATCCCCAAGGTCGGCTGAACTTCATTGCACAGCTCTCGCCAGTTACACGCCTTGATGACCAACCAGATAAAGGTCAACTCACCCGACAAGATGACAGGATGGCGTTTGTCGTCGTCCAAGATGGCGTGCTGGAGATGCTCTCCAAAGATGCTCTGGCTATCTAGAATAGAACTGAGACAGGTAAATGAACTCGACTTAGCAAGCAGACGATCTCGTAGTCTTTAACTCGTTCTTGTATTTTGCAGATGGCAACGGCCGCTTCAACAATAGGCGTGCGTCCTCTAGCTCGTTTGCAGACAGGACGCTACCAGGAGAATAGTCCGGTTTCGTTGCGCCAAGCTTGCATTTCCTCGGCGCAAAAGCCTCCGTCGGGCGCAGCAGCAGTTAGAGCGGTTAGAAAGCAAAGAGGGCATCAATACTGGCTCTTCCTCGGGAGGAAGTTGCGCTCCAGCTGCATGGATTCAGGTTCGCATCTCGAGCAGTCCTTCGTTGCTGGATAGGCCGGCTAGGGCCAGCCATGAAGACATCTCACGCCGGAGCCAAGAAGGATCCCGCGATCGGAGTTGATGAGCAACAAGCTCGTTGAAGGGCTTCCTGCTATCAAAACTGCTGCCCAAGAACGGATTGATTCTCATCGGTCCGGCACTGGTGAGACAGCGCGCGGCGTGGAGCGGCCGTCGGTCTGACGGTTCCCGAAAGGATCCATGCTAAGGATCCATGTTGTTTTCTGCGCCACTGGTTCGTGCGGCGCTACCCATCAAAAGTCCGGTTGGAGGCGTAGACATCCGCGCATAGCAAGAAGTCCACCGGCTCCGCAGCCAGGAAGTTTAGATCGGCGAGCTCCATCCCGCTGATATGGCTCCATCTTCATCTGGCCGTTTTGATGCCGCCTTTGTACAGAGTGAGCCGGAAAAGGACTATCATCGGAAGATTTCCTTCCAGCGATAATATATATATATTTGAGATTTGGAGCGAGACCAGTGCGCATAGTCCGTTTTTTTTCCGCCGACACCGAAACACAGAGAGGTAAGTGCACGAGCCAAGGTGTCATATGGCATATATATATTTGAGTTATTTATAATTAATTATTATATATTCTCTTTAGTTCTTTGTAATTCTCTGTTTTTCAATTAATATTTTTTTATGTCTACTTAAATGAAATAATTTGTTTCCAATTAGAGTAATTGGTCCAAAGAACAAGCATTCATTTCGTATTATTTGAATGTCTGCTTCTTTGGGCCATTTATAAATGTCTAATTCGGATTTTAAAAATTTAATTTTTGTAGAATTTTCAAATTCTTCAATGATTCTTTCAATATAAAATGTGTTATCATAGTAAACAGTATAGTATTTTTCTATTTCTATATTCTCCGAGTTAGTTTCATTCTCTTCGTTTTTTTTCATCAATACTTTTGCCTTCAAATTCGAGTTTAATTATAGAAGACGTACTTTCAGATAAAGGGTTATTATTTAGAGTTTTTTTGTCTATTGGCCCTGAGATTGGCACTCCTTTTATTTAATTCTTTTTTGGTTTTTTCTCCGGACATTCTTCTTATTCGTAACAATCTATCTGTAGACAATCGGCCACATTTCGTAGCAAAAAACCAACATAGTGTCGATTTCCTTATCAATAATATCTTACTTTTAATTTGCATTTTTAAAAATGATTTATTTGTAAATTTATTATTACTTTCTTTCGCAAAAGTATAATCTTTTATTTCTGATTTTGTTACTCTTGCCACTCTTGTATTTATATCATTTTTTATGTCTCGCGAATCTTTTGGATGTAATTCTATTTCGTACATACAATTGTTGACGGCTTGAGTATCGTTTGAATTTTCATTTTCAGAAGTTTGTATTAAATTCGAAGGCAAATCAACATTTTCTATATCATGGTTTGGATCATCTAAAATCATTTTTAATTTTATTTATTTAATTATCAACTAATTTCTTGGTATTTAGCTTTATCGATTTATGTTTAAATGGGTTATTAATTATATTTAAAGGGTTTTAATTTTTTCAATTTGTGGAATGTGACAAGAAATTTCTTTTCTGAACTGTTTTTTTTTCCATTTTGATATTATCTTCTCTAGAAAATCTGGAATGATCACCTGAAACAATTAAAAATTAATATCATTAATTCTGAATAAACATCTAATAATTTATAACTTAAAAATATGCATATGATGTATAAGTATTAACCGGAATCAACTGAAATATTCAAACATTGAATTCGTACATTCTTGTTTAGCAAATCTAACATGTCAAAGTTTGTAATTGTGGAATAAGTTGACAACATGGCTCTAGGTTGGCGAAAAAACATTTCGGTTGATTATTATATAGCCAAGATAAAAATAATTCTGGACAATTGTCTTTTCGTAGAAATTTAATAACATAGTTTAAAATTAGTTTTTAATATGATTAATAGCTTTTGTTAAGGAGTGTTCCGGGATTGAGTCGCTCAGCCGCGAGATTTCGATTGAGGAATCAATCGACTGATTCGGCCCGGGTGCCGTGAATCTCGGTACTTCCGTGATACGCATATTGAGTAGGAACTATTAAGCGCACGCGTGACCGAAAATTCGATGATTGCACAACGCAGGACACGCGCAAAGCTCGCGGCCACGGCATTTCCACATCCTGCGCAACTCGATAGATCCGCGAATCAATCACAGAGCGCCATGTGCGGGATTCAACTCCTTCTAGCTGTCCTTATCACGGAAACGAAGCATCGCGTGGCCGATTAATCGCTCTCTTCCGTGCGGAACTCGATAGAGATAAGAAGACATGTTCACGGTAGTCTCTCGATTTCAAGTTTTATCGAATCTCGTTCGTTTCGTCGCGTTCTGCGCCAATTATCGGTCGTCGCGCGAATTCGTTGTTGAGCGTCTCAATCTAGGACGAAGCTGCGTTATTGATACGCGTACTAATCATCGTTGATCGTGATCGATCAACCATAGAAGTTGAAATATGTCCATGTAGTGCCTTCCATTTCTTTACTCATCTCGTCGTTTCAGGTGAGCGGAAAATTACGGATAAAGATCACCCTTCGTCGCTCACTCCACATACAGTCATCGGACCAATTCGGAAATTCGGCTCGAAGGACCAGCTGATGTTAGCGAGCGAAGCGGTTGCGCGAGCGAGGAAATTGATAAGTACCCAATTTTGATAATCATTTTTGGGCTCCACTATATAGTGGTGTTAAATATTTGCGTGTAATTCTTGGGTAATATCTCTCAAGCGCCGCAAACGAGATACAGACCTCTGTCTTTTCTTTCTTGAGCCGCGATCTCTTGGAAAGCGGGTGAATTGATTAACACCGCGCGAATTATAATATAACAGATTTATTATGAATACTGTTTGTGTGGACAATGTCTCGTATTGATGTCAGAGACGAGAGTGAAGCGCGAGAGCCCGTCAAGATACTTCTGTATCAAATCGATAGCTTGTAAAAGCGGCATCTATCATATTGCGATGATAATCGAAGTCTCACGATAATGAGCCAAAAGACATTAGTACATAGATTATAATACGAAACAAGTGGAGAGTATGTTACAATGTATATACATTGTAACGTCTCCCCTTGTTTGTTTATAACTTATTATCCGAAAAATATTTATCTTTATCTCGCTCATTCTCCTGCTATAAAGACCGCGGCTACGCGTTCAAGGTCGGTTAAGTCGGACTCTAAATTAATTACTAAACAATGCCAGGTTGCGGAGTTTCTTTATTAAATGAGTTCGCTGGTCGAGCGTTTACTTAATCTACACATTACTCCCAGAGAAAGGCGAGGATGGTTACATTAACTGCGTGCCATAAATATATTTCCTTTTTCGGTCTCTCTTGCTAAGAATTTTGAGTCCGCCTTCGCCGACTTATTCTTCGTTCAATCCGCGTATTCTATTATTATATTTCGAGTAATTAATATCGCGCGAGAGATTTTGAAGAACTTTGTCGCACTTTTGTATATAATCGATGACAAAGCAATCTCTCCCGCTCCACACAAGCAAGAGAGATTGCGAGCAAGAGCGAAAGTCGCGGTGTTGTTTTTTTTTTACATTTTGAGTTTTCAAATGGATTTGATGTAGAATCTTTTGCTGCCGAACGTTTAACGATGTTTGTAATCGATGAATTTGGTTCTTGGACTCTTGATTTTTCTTTGTCAGCTCTACGCACTCCGCCTGTGATTGATTAAATTGCAATTCCAAATTTCTGTAGAGTGTTTTATGTAACACTTTTTTTTGCTGCTTTGCAAATCTTCTGTCTTTCTTTAATTTGTTCATCAGATCTTTATTTTTATGTTTTAAGATATTACTATCAGTCTCGAGCTCTCTGAATTTCTTGGTTGTCTCAGTATGCTGCTTCTGCAGATTGGCTTGCTTGTTCATATTGTTCGTCTTGAGATTGGACACACACCCGTTTATTACCCGGTTATTCTCTTTTTTAATAGTTTTAACTCAGATTTGAAATTATTCTTTTCGAGAAGACATATCTTTCGGTGTGCAAAATTTTGCATATTCATTGGTCATCACTTTCGTTCGTGGCATTATATAATTATTACCTGTGGGTTCGTCAGCAAGATTATTTTATCCTATTTTATATTATATTCGCCACTAAAATGAATTGTTCCTTTTCCTTCGAAGTCTATTTTAAATCCAGTTGAATTTATCTCATGATATTCAATATTCATATTTGATACTGACTCATCATTTTCGTTCGTGCCTGCTAAAGGTATAGACTGAATAAAAAATTAAATGAATAATGAAAAATTAACTGAATAAATAATTATTACCTAAAGTGGGTTCGTCGTCAGTAATAAGTTACTTCTTTTTATTAATATCGTATTTGTCTTCAAAATCGAAAACACCTTTTCCATCAGAAATAATTTGGATGCTATGATTTTGCGATGAACTGGCATCATTATCATTTCTGTTTGTTGTTTCATCCTTCCCCGAGGTATTATATGTATCTGCTAAAAATCCACCCGATTAAATTATACCCACTGTTTTTTGGATCTTCTTGTTTGCCATTAATAACTTTTAACTTATACAAAATAATAATGAATGCTTACCTGTCCTCTTTGACCTTCTTTTTTTTGTTTTGGTTGGGGGGGATCACAAACTTTGCAGTTTCTGCTTCCTTTTGTTTTTTCTTATCGTCTATCCGTGATGATCGTCTATACATAAAAAACTAATTATAATATATCAATAAAATTGACACATTCTATTAATTATAAAAATTCCTCTTTTACCTCGGATGTATCAAATGTTCTGCGCCATCATCTGACGCCAATAATGACGGATTTTCTTCTGATTCATCTTCTTCGATAAGTTGATCCATATCTTTGGAATTATCCCTTGTGGTATCTACTAAAAGTCCACGACCACCGATTTATGAATTCTTTTTTTTTTCCTACCCATATCTTTTGTATATCGCTGTAAAAAGATACATTTATATGTTATTTTTATATTTATTTATCTATAGAAATATATAAGTGCTTTACATTTATTTATGAAAAACAACATTAATTTTTATGTAGTAACACTACGGTAATCGCTCACAAATGATTTGAACATCGTGATGTCAATCTAACGATCTATTTTAATTAAACAATAATAAAATAAAATATAAGGATCTAACAATACTCAAAAGAACTAATCTAACGAATTGAAAAATAAAACGCGAAAAACTATGAACTAAACGTACACCCGATGTACAAATCACCGATGAGACACATGAACCAACACGAACTGGTAACCGTTTCCTAAATTTCTGAAACATGGTTTCCTGAGTCATTAATTTTTATGTATATATAATCATAAATTATAAAACATTAAACATTTTTCTCATAAGATCGTTAAACAGTTTCTTTTTCCATGATATATATATGACTCACTTTTATTTTCTTCTGTCAACGTAGATAACGTTATGTTTATTTTTTCCATATTTTGCTTTATTGTGTTTAAGCATTGGTTTAAACATTGGACACCAACAGTGGCGTCGGAATTTTAAAAAACTGGCCAAAAATATATATTTATCCTTGACAATGATTATAAAACGCAAATAAACAAATTGACCGAAAACTTTCTCTCGACTCTTTCGATTTGAATAACAAATTCTTAGAAATAAAAACAACCGAAAAGTTGTAATTTATAAAGAATAATAGTTTAAAAGAATATTTGGTGCTAAATTTCAAATGTAACAGGCAGAATATGTGAAAATACATACGATGTATCTGCTGTTTCATCGAGGAAACTCATAATTCTCGAAAAGCGAAATTCTTTTGGCCGCCCTGGGAAACTTGTTTCTCTTTTGTACCGTATGAAACAATCCCTCAAATACTTCCATTTTTTTTGGCCTCATCCACCGTTATTAAACCTATAATAATAAACAAAATTAGTTTATATTCTTAAAATAGTTTACACTTCGCAACTTTGCATCGTGTAATATTTTTTAAATAAATGTAATATTTTAATATTTATACAAACCTTCTAAAGCGTTTTCTACTTGTCTCCACATAATTTTTTTTTAAATTTTGGTACGCTCGTATAATGGCATTCGTGTATCCCAAAGCGCTGGAAATGTTCTCACAATTTTGATAAGCTTCTCGTCACGGAACTCTTTTGATTCTTCGTATTCAGTTAAATTATTAAAACTCATTCTACATGAATATGGTGGAGGCGCAGAAATAAAAAACATTTTTTTGATAATAAATTTTTTATTCATATATATTGTGGACCACTACCGAACGACAAATCAATTAGTTATACATATATATTTGACAATTTAATAAATTAAAATACTAAATTAAATAAATAAATAAATAAA